ACAGTAGCATGTATCAATACTTGATGTATTCATATAAATGTTCATGTAACGTATGGAAGAGCGCACACATTGTACATTTGACTCCGATAACTTCTTCTTCTCATATCTGCAAGTCTGTAACCCTTGAAGAATATCTCTTCATTTTCCCAGCCCCTGGCAACCACTGCTGTACTTTTTGCTTCTGTGAATTTATGACTTTGAGAATCCTCATGTGAAGAAACATAATATTATCATAAATACACAATTTCCAGTGCCAACCTTATTCCATCCTTCAGCACTGAAACTGCTTGTGTCTCTGAAGCTAAAGCAGGTCTGTTGTGGATAGATCCTACATCCATCGTGTCTTTTATGCGTTTTGTTTTACACTGCGGTGTTCAGTATGTTTCTGTTCAGAACGATTACCAATACAGTAGGACTGAAGCCTGCTAGTTTTGTATGTTCTACCTTATGTTCTGTGTTCCTCCTTCCCACTGTCCAGGCGTTCTTTCGCCATTATCAGGCAACTTCTCAGAATAGGCTTTGCATTTCCTGATTGTTTCCTTATCGTATTTTCCAGTTATGTTCTTCATGGTTGCCAACAGGTGACAGCTCACATTTTAACTTGAATGAATCTGGTTCAGATTATTGCCAACTCAATTTCAATATTCTACAAAACCTGGACTGTATAAAAATTCAGAGCCTCCCGGTCCCTTCTGCTGTCATTGGCACAAAATTACTTCTTTATACACGAAAGCCCATCCGGACGGTTTTATATAACAACTGCTTTTTGCAGCAATTGCCCTTTAAACCAGACACAGAAAGAACAGCGTTACCAACCACAGTGCATTCATACAGCCTTTTATTAATGTTGACACAGTTTCCTTCAGTGGTGCTCTTATTGCATCATGGGGAGCAAATCAAGTTACTATTTTTTTCTGAGATTTCCCTTTGATATTTCTCACAGGAAAGGTCGGCCCACAATAATTTCTCTGAGTTTGTCCATTATCAAGAAATACCTTTATTTCACCATCATTTTGGAAGAGGCATGACAACTGAGTGAAATGTGTGCTGCCTGATCCATCATTGATCCTCTAAATAATCTCTCCAAACTACTACTGGGACAGTAGGGAAATTTAAATGCGGACCTAACATGGACTTGGATAATGTCACCGTATCATTGTTAAATCTCTTCAATGTGATAACGGTGCTGTGGTTGCATATGGGTATGTCTTAGTCCTTGGGAGACACATGTTCAAGTATTTGGGTGAAGTGTTGAGCACTTAAGCAAAACAACAACAAAATTGAGAGAGAAAGCAACAAGATTATGGGAATCCAGGTGAAGGATTTTCTCTGTGTTCCCCCTTCAAATTTCTGTGTTTTCAAATGAGAAGTTGAGAAAAATTTCTCATATATTAAGAGTTACATGCTGAAGTATTATAGATCATATAAGGTAATGCCTGGTATTTGCTTGAGAATAATCAGGAGGAGGAGGAGGTGGGCTGAGGTTATGTATGAGCTGAGATAGGCCCCAAGTTATTAATGGTTGCAGGTGAGAGCTAGGTAATGAAAAATACCTTATGTTGACCTGTCTTGTACAGGGACTCTCCATTGGTCCGTCAGCAGCAGAAGAAACAGCAGGGAAATGGTTAAAAGAATGAATTCTGGGTCCTAACCTAGATCTTGACATCTGAGAGTACAAATATGGATCCCAGTGATCTGTGTTTTTATTTTTATTTTTATTTTTTTTGTCTTTTTGTTGTTGTTGTTGTTGTTGTTGTTCTGGGAATTGAGCTCAAGGGGTGCATTACCACTAAGCCACATCCCCAGCCCTTTTTCATGTTTTATTTAGAGCCAGGGTCTTGCAGTGTTGTTTAGGACCTCGCTGAGTTGTTCAGGCTGCCTTTGAAATTGCTGTCCTCCTGCCTCAGCCTCCTGAGTTGCTGGGATGGATTACAGGTGTGCACCACCATGTCTGTCTGTGATCTTTGCTTTGAAGAGCTGTGTAGGTAAATCTGATGCAAGCCCATATTCCAGGACCACTGGTCTAGTGTAATGTAATGGACCTGGAGATTATTTGTAGGGCGTCTATATATTCTATTTGCATATGTTTGAAATTAAAAGAACACAGGCTTCTAAGTAAAGGAACCACAACCCAGATGTGTTACTGAACAATTCTTAGTAAAGTTTCAAAACAGTTAAACACAAACATAAACACTCTCTCTCTCTCTCTCTCTCTCTCTCTCTCTCTCTCTCATACACACACTCACACACACACAAACCGCCCCCCCCACACACACACAAACACACACACACTTTCAAATGGAGAAGAACCTTGATTCTGGAACCAACCTGAGAGAAAGAAACATCACACCAATCTCCCTCATGAGCAAGACGCAGAAATCCTAAGCAAAATTTTAGCAAGCTGAGTCACCCAGCATAAAGCAAAGATAATATAAGCATACCTAAGTGACATTTTATCCTAGGAGTGCAAAGCTGGCGCAGCATTAGAAAACGAGAGATGGAAGGGGGGCATCCCAGAGGTCTGTATTGCTAATGGAGTCATTGGGTTGCTTGCTCTAGATGCTAATTAGATGCATACATCTAAGTTTTTGAAAACTCGCTGTGATATACCCTTACGGTGTCTACGTTTTTGTCGGTTGTAAGGGTAATTTTACTCCAGGTTGGGGAAAAACCTATCCAGGTCAGTCAATGTATTCATGGATTAAATGGCTACTGCTTTGTTGATTTCCACACAGGCAGTATCTACTTGAGTTTGCAGGATGAAATTTTGAACTGAGGAATGAAAGGGACATTGCTGCATGTGGTTAAAGGGAAAGAAGTGGAGGCAAGTGGAAGGAAGGAATGGAGAGAAGCAAAGAGAGAGGAAAGAAGGAAGGAAGGAAGAAGGAATGACCTCATGAAGGGGGAAATGCAGGGAGACAGTTTCTACATGAAAATTCTGACAGTGTTGTCTTTAAAATCAGGAGCAATCTGTAGAAGCCCAAATCTGTCATCTCTGTTAGATGTTGCACCGGGTGGCAAAGCCGGTACTGTAGGAAGCCCATAGGATCAATTGAATTCTCAATACTCACAGATTCCTGGGATATCCCAGAATATCTATATCGGAAGGTTGAGATACAATAGTGTTCGATATGATGGCTGACTTTGTGATCAATATGCTTGTTAAAAATTCAGATGCATTTCTATCATCTCGATCCAAAAAAAAAAAGGATTGCCATTGTGAATAGGCACCAAACACCAGGACAGCAACACTCTAGAGCATCCTGGGGTAAAGACAATAAATGAAGCAAGAGATGTGAGTGTACAAAAGGCAAAATTGAAAGGTACGTGAGAGATGAAAACGCTCAAGACCCACATGAGTGGAGAGACCATCCTGGTTGATGAGTGAGAAGGATGGATATCCTATAGATTCTCAGTACCCGCTTAGTTGATCCATAGATTCTGTCAAACTGCAATCCAAATCCATGACCAGTGAGAGCGCGCCAGTGGAACTTGACAGGCAGAGCTTGACTTGTATTTACATAGAAGAGCCAAAGACAAAGAACAGCAAAGATGTGTTTGGACAGGATGAATAAGATGTAGGTTCTTGCCTTAGCCAACACATCGAGTGCTGCATTTTGAGAAGGGGAACTGACAGCATGACAAGTAAAGGAGTTGAAAATGCAGGCAGAGCACCTGTGTCACCTCAAAGGGAGGCTAGTCTGGGAAAGAGCTGTAGGGAGAACAAAGCTCACCCCCCACCCTGGGAGCAAATGGCCTGCCTGGTGAAGTGGGTGCAAGAAGCCACTAGGAGGCGAGGGGGCGCGACCGCGGTGCGTCATGCAGTGCGGGAGCATCAGTGGATCTCGAAGCTCATTGGCCAGCGGCCACAGGGGTGGGAGGTAGAAGGCACTGCTGGAAGCTCATTGGCCTTCGTGGAAAGGCGGGAAAGGGAGAGGGAGCTGGAGCAGCAGAGGGACCTGGGTCTTCCCTCAGGTCTCTTATAGCAACTGATCAGTCCCGACCTTCTGGAGGCTGGGGTAACCACAGGCCAGCATCAGGGATACGACCCTCCCTCTCCATCCTTCTCCTCTATCTTCCCTCTCTCCGTCCCTCCCACTTGAGATCGCCAATTCCTTCCCCTTTCCTCCACCTCAGCGGGGGTAACCGATCAGATCCCGAGGTGCCACCCACACCTATCCCCAGCAGAACCCATCTGGGGAGGGTCCCTTGTCCTGGCACCCGATCCCTGAAATCTGGCCCCTTTGGCAGGGCGAATGCCCATGCCTTTGGTTCTGAGGTGGGGCAGGATGGGAATGATTGGGCTGGTGAGGAGGTGGGATCATGCCCTCTGGAGAGGTCAGAGTGGGCAAGCAGTGAGGGCTGTGGGAAGACAGGGAAGAGAAGATCGTGGGCGCAAGCACAACTGTCGAATTGTGGAGAGGGGAGTGGAAGATTGCTGGGGGGCTGTGGAGGTCAGGCGTGGGTTTGAATGAAAGCAGAGCGGGAGTGTTGGTCCAAGAGGAAAATTAGTGCCCCCAGGGGCTGCCTGTTGGCTAGGACAGGACCTGGCACCCCATGGAGGGCTCAGCAAACATCTGTTGAATGAAGAGGGTTGGGAATGAATGAAGAAATAAAGGAAAATAAAAGTGGAAAGAGGGTCAGGGGTTCAAGAGAAGGACATGACTCTGTGGGGTGCAAAGGGGTGATCAGCTTAAAGGGCGAGCAGGGGAGTAATTAAGATTAAGGTGGGGTGCAAGAGAAACCAGAATGGAGTGTGAGGGAGGAGGAAACTGAATGTCGGGCATCCATGAGGCTATGAGTTGAGCGCAGGGCCTGTGAGATCCTGTGCGGGAGGGAACGGGTGCAGGAGGTTAGGAAGACAACTGGATGCTGAAGGGGACGCGAGGATTAATAATATTTGGGTTTAGCAGAGCTCAGGATGGATGTTGCATTAAAAGGGGGCAGCAGTAACTGTCCCAAAGGGGATGTGGGTGTGCATGTGTGTGCCTGAAAACGGGATGCATGGCGGAGTGAAGGTAAGCAAGGAGAATCATGATCAGATTGAACACATGAGGGACCCGTGCCAAGAGGTTGAAGAGAGGAGGTGACATGAGAGCGGGGCTTCCTGGGGAGGAGGCTACATGAGTAAGGAGGTCGGGTGAAGGTTGGAGAGAGCCATGGGGAAAGAAGGGAGGGCAAATTGATTCATGTGGTGAGCAGGATGGAGAAGAAGAATCCAGCCACCTGAGATGGGGTTCTCCAAGGGCAGAGCGAGTACACTAGGGATAGGGGATGGTGTGGCCATTCTGATCTCCGCTCCTGACCCTAGAACCATGGAGCCCAAAGACATACCTGCTGTGCCCTGCTGCCCCTCCGACTCCAAATGTACCACAGGGCGTGAGACCGGAGCCCCGTGGGGGATTGAACTTGGCCCCAGAAGAGCTATAGGTCGCTGTGACCGCTGCCACAACCATGGCATCACTACCAAAATCAGGGGCGAAAAGCATTTCTGCCTCTTCCGGGCCTGCAAGTGTCACAATTGTGCCTTCTTCTCGTGAGTATGGTGTCTGACAAGGGGAGGGGTCAGGCCTCCTCTGCATGCAACTAACCCTCAGCCTTCTATCCACCACTTTAGGGAGCAGCACAGGGCCTTGCCTGCTCTGAGTGCCTTGAAGAGGGAGCGGGGCGCACGGCTCAAGAGGCACCTGGCTCAAGGACTGATAAAGACCATGGCTGCAGCCCCCAGATCGCACCTCCATGTCAAGAAGTTGGCCCTGGAAGCAGGCATCCCGGGTGAGTAGGAGTGTCTCCTGCCAGGGAGGGAGGTCTGAGTCTGGGTAGAGGAAGCCTGAGCAGCTCTGTGGCCAGTCCTACCACCAAATCACAGCATCACCTGGGGTAAGGAGTACCTGGGCCTTCGATGGTCCGAGGATTTGACCCACTCACATTACCTGCCAAGAGTTTGTAGGGAGGACAGGTGTGGTGGCTCAAAAAGGCCCATGACAAGATGCGACCTCGGGGGGGGGGGGGGGGGGGGGGGGGGGGGGGGGGGGGGGGGGGGGGGGCGGGGGGGGGGGGGGGGGGGGGGGGGGGGGGGGGGGGGGGGGGGGGGGGAAGAGGGGGAGGAGAAGGGGAAGGCAGCCTCTTAGACTGAAGGGCAAAGTCTGGACTCTCCCAGCCTTGCCATTTCCTATTCGTGATACCTTGGACAGATGACTTTATGGCCCAGAGCCCCCTTTTCCTAGCGGGTGTGAAGGGAAAAAGTCCACCCTACGCCCCCAGCATTGGAAAGACGACTAGCACGAGGTCTGCCATGCAGTAGGTCTGCAAGATGCGAGGACTGTTGTTGCACAGGAAACAGATGGGTGGGAGAACCGGTCCTCTTGGCGGAAAAAAGGGGCTGTGATGAGGGGCAAGGCCAGAGGCCAGTAGAGAAGGCTTCCTGAAGATGAGCCAGGCTTGTCCTTTGAGACCCATGGGGATTGTGTGAAGTGGAGGCAAGAGCCAGCCCCAGCAAGGAACAGCAATCCCATCTCTCCAGGTGCTTTGCACATGAAAACGCAGACAGCTGTGGTGCGATGCCCATCACCCTCGCGGTGGCCCTGGAGGGAAGAGGCCAGTAGGAATTTGTGTCTGGGGAAAAGGGTGTACAGGAAGGAAAACAGGCCAAGCCGGAGAAAGGACTTGCCCAAGCCACGAGGACCGATGGCCCCGCGGTCACTGGGATTCCCACATCCTGATATTGCAAAGTCCTGCCCTCTCTGTCTACTGGTGGTGCGTGTCCGCCAGAGGGTTTAATCCCCTGGCCTCTCCTCTCCTTGTTTCCAGATGCTCGAGTCTGCTCCTCCAGCCCTGTGCCACCCCTGACCCTCTTCTACTGCAGCCACAGGTCCTGGGAAAGAAGCGGGCTCCAGACCCTGGGAGGGACCGTGCTTAGTGGTCGGGAAGAGCAGAAGGCCTTGGGGGTGGGGGGTGGGGGCTCGAGGGAACTGGGGGCTGAAGGGGCGCTTGTCCTGGTGGGAGGAGGTGTGGCTCCCCAGCCCCCATGCTCTCACACCCCTTTCCTTTGCAGGTCTCCAATGCCTCCGAACAGGCTTCCCTTTCTGCCGCCTTGGAGTGGCAGCGGAAGCTGGAGGCAGCCGAGGCTCTGCTGGCTCTGAAAAACTCTTCTTGGGACCCTCCTGATTCCATGACCCTGCACCAGCCCTGCAGCCCACCAGGTAGCTTGCTCCTTGAAGGGTGAACATGAGGTGGGCACCCTTGGGAAATGGAGGCGGGGCCACGTTGTGGTGAGCTGCTTCTAACTGGGAAGGCAGGATGTGTGGGTCCAATGTCCCTGGCACGGAGGCCCTGAGGGAGGCTGGGACTTGCCATGATGCTCAGCACATCATATGGAAGCTCGGGGTCTCCTGCCTCCCAGCCCAAGGCCCACGCTCCAGTCCCCTGCGGTGTGCTGCAGTCTGGGGAGGAAGGCATAAGGAGGTGACAAGGGCCTCTCCTCCGGAAGGAGATCTGGTCCCTGACTTCAGGGAACTGCAGCCTGGACCCGGAGGCTGGATGCCTTCCCAAGCGGTGTTTTAGACATGCCCCAGAGTGGAAGGGCTGGAGGAGCTCCCAGGAGGGTTAAACACCCAGGGAGCCTGGGAGGGAAGGCTGGGCAATGCTGCACAAAAACGGTGCGCGGATCATGGTGTGAGAGGAAGTGCTGGAAGAGGAGGGGATGGGGCTGGAGAGGTTGCTGATCACGCGTGTCTGGCAGGCTGGGCTTGGGAGACCAGACCAGCCAGCGTGGGCGGTGCAGAGCCAGGCACTGTTTCTGACCTCATTATTCAGAGACCTTATTCAGAGACCCCAGGCTTGCTCCAAAGAGATGTGATGGGGGTGGCTGTGACGGTGGGATGGGGTGGGAGGCGAGACTGGAGATTGGGAAAATCAGACCCCTTGGAAGGGGCCAGTGCCATACTCCCAGGGAGCAGATCTGTGATTGGGTTGGGCAGAAAGGGAGGGGGGAGCTGGGCGGGGACCTGTATGTGACCTGACCCTGCCCCCTTCCTTTCCCTCTGAAGCTCCTGCAGGAGAGAGAGGACTCCAGGCTCCCAGCCCTCCTCTGCGACCCAGGCCTGCCAGCTCGGTGTCACTGCCTATCGGACATCTGGGGTGCATCTCCCTCTTGACCTAAGAGCCCCGCGGAGGAGGCCTCGCCACAGCACTGCCTATTTGGGTATCCTGTTTCTGAATGTGCAAAATGTTTAATGTCCAAAATGCTTAACGTCTTTTTTTAAGCCTTCAGGTGTTTTATAAGCTTTCAGACCCTTTTTATGATGTGGGGCAACTCTTTGATTGAGGTTGGGTATTCTTGTACCTTCCCATCCCTTATTCCTTTGGATGCTGGGGCCTTTTTATGTGTCTTATAAAAACAGGATTGCGCAATCAATCTGTCAGCGGGGTTCTGAGTGGGTTCATATGCCAGTGTTTTCATGTGTCTTGTGATTGTGCACTTACCTGTGCACCCATGTACGCACCCATGCATGTGGAAACAGGAAGATGTTTTCACTTTGCGTCTAGGTTTGTGTGTGTGAACAAATAATAAACCCTTGTTGTTGTAAGGCACTGAGAAATATGGGTTGTTTGTTACCACAGTATAACCTAGACTATCCCCACCCTAACGGTCTGTTTCAGTTCACATTATCGGAAGTGAGAGTCACTTGGGTTTTCACAAGGCTAGAGAAGGGCATGGTAGAGGGGAAGGAGTAGCAAATTTATCCACTGGGTGATGAAGTACCCACCCTCTGCCTGGAACAGACTGTTTTCAGTAGTCTGGAGGGCCACGGATCACCGTGCCCGCGGGATCAGGCCGATCAGGTCAAGGAGCAGAGCAGAGGCCAGGCGGGCTGTGGCCAAGTGAGAGTGCATGAGGGGCAACTGCCGTGGGGCTCCAGCCAAGGGCTTCCATGCAAGAAGGTGGGCTCATTGTTGCCCAACCTACTGCTTTTTTCAAGAGAAGATGGGACTCTGGATTTCGAGGTAAAATGACTCCATTTGTGAGCAGTGGCACGGGTTTCCTCTTTGAGCCCTGTTCCTGTGGGCCAGAACAAACAGTGCTGCTGGACAATCTTGGCTGTGGGGAAACCAGTGCATTTCTAGTCCAAGGTGAACTTTACAGTGGGGGAAATCGAGGCCAATCGGGACAAGAAGGATCCAAGGGGGGAAACGAATTCGAACTGGGCCCAACTTTTGAAGGACCCACGAAATATAAGGGAGAGTCACCACCTCATACTTGCTCTGTGCTCGCTCTGTGCTAAGCACATACAAACTCACAACAACTCTGCAAGTGAAGCATTATTCTTAAAAAATTTTTTAGCTATAGATGGACACAATACCTTTATATCTATCTACCTATCTATCTATCTATCTATCTATCTATCTATTTATTTATTTTTGTGTGGTGCTGGGGATCGAACCCAGGGCCTCACACATGCCAGGCAAGCACTCTGCCACTGAGCCACAACCCCAGCCTCAAAGAAGCATTATTCTTGCCATGGAATCTGTGAGGAAACCCATTCAAGGGAGGGAAAGTGACTCACATCAGCATTTTCATGGGAAATTTGAGCAAATATCAGGGAAAGTGCCTTGTCTTTGTCAGGCCCTAAATTAGCTGGTGATTTATTCTTATAAGGCATCAAACGAAGGGTTCAGACCTCAAAGCAACAGCAGCAGTCAGAAGGCCTTTTCAAAAGCACGTGGCCCCTCTATTTCCCACCCAAGGTCACAGTATGTAGTCATCGATCAGATGTCTCTTCCCTGCACCTGTTCCTCTATCCTCTGCTGATGTTCTAAAAAAAATGGAGGAACTGCCCCGCCCCCCACAAGGCAGGCAAGGAAGCTCAGCTAGACACTCCTGGACTTGGCCTTTTCCCCATGCTTGTTACGTCTCCATGTCCTTCCCTGCCCTGATTTTACTCCAGACAGATTGATGGAGATGACATGGAATCACGAGCACTCATCTTCTTGTTGTTCATTTGGTGTTTTATTTGTCTGTTTCTTCATTCGTTTTGGAGCCCCAAGAAGTCAGGTTTCTCCTATTCTCTGTGCGATGGGGAGGGGCGAAACAAGCATGCACACATCACTGAGGACTCAGAGCAAGATGGAAGTCCGTCTCATACAACCGATTCTTCCTAGATGTGTTACGTGCATAAATGGTCCAAGGCCCTCCTACACCAGTGACAGATAAAGGGTTCCCCATATTCCTGAAGGGAGGGAGCAGAAGTACTGGAGAAAGCCCAAGACCCTACCATGCAACTATGTCCCAGGCACACCATGGACCCCACGATGGGTTGGGTACAAGAGCAGGTGTATGTTGGTAAAAGGATACGGCAGGAGAAAGGGGAAGAAAAGAGAAACAACGTGCAGAAGTGGGGGCAAGGAGTGAGGCCCTCTCTGTTTCTTGAGGCTCACCATCCTTTACATGCAGGGCTGTTTTCAGACTTGACACAGCTGTCACACACGCACACACATAGGCACGTGAATGTGCACGCTCACATGGATTTCTGTAAAGTTTAGCACAGGCTGTTTCTGGTGTGTTTGGGGAACCTCAGGACGCCTTTGTAAATGTTCACTATCACGTGTTCTTGTGTTTCTCATTTTGTCATGTACCACCCCAGCTGACAGGTTGAAAACATCACGGTAAAGAGCACTTTAACAGTTATGTCTTGAATCTCTTGGGTTATGTCACCACTTTAGCTAGGCCTGAGCATACCCACCCTATCTGAGCCTCCAGAGTGACTCGATCTCACCTGGTAGGTGAAGAGTTAACAACGGGGTCTCTGGGGTTAGGGGAGGGTGGGGGGATGTCTGGCACTGTCCCCTTTGCTGCTTGTGGGATCCAAAAGGGATACCAGTGAATGGTGTGTGGGGAGGACACACATTTCCACCATTGAGATGCAATAACTGTAAATAACCTCGAGAACATAGATGATAGTGAGGTGCAGGAGAATGATTAGGGATTGGTGAATTTCAAGCAAGTATTACCTTTGTTTCCCATCTAGAGGATGTGATCGTTACTTCATATGATTGGGCTTTTCATAAGGGCTGTATTCAACAACTGGCTCTCAAAAGCCTGAAAATGTAACAGTCAGCATGTATGGTCCAGTAGGAGCTGGCTCCAGCACTCCTCTGATTTTGACCTTGGCCCAGGGAGACCAGTCTTCCAGAGTAGGCCACGTGAACAATGCACGCACACAAAGGGTTGTGACTTCTGGTCTCTAACCACGAACGGCTTCACACATGTATGTGGGAAAGTACTATTTTTAACCCCTCAAATGGAAGGGCTTGGGACAAACATTGAGCTGAAGGAACAGCCAAAAGTGCTTATGTGGGAAGGTGCACTACTGGAGGGGGCCAAAGTGGGTAGACGTGCACGGGAGGGATGCCAGGATTGGCGAAGCCCATACAGGGGTGCATTCCCCAGATTTCTTAAAGGATAAGGGAATGGGGGCCACTGGTGTCACCTGGGCCCTGCACTTGTATCTCTCACGAGACAGAGAGACATTCTTTCTTTCCCTCCTGGTGCTTAGATCCATGCTACACAGGGTCCACAAACTCCTCTGTTTGCCTTCTTTTTTTTTCCCACTTTAAAACACATCCTTGCAAATACTTGCTCACCAGATGGAGAACAGTGTTATTTCAGGGAATGGATGCATTGACCATACGACAAGGGGCCTTGTGAAGTGTTCAGAGCCAAATGCTTGAATCGCCTTTTCAAAAGTGTTGCTTTTGCTACCGTGTTCTTTCAGCGAACGGATGTGCGAGCCACAATGGAATGCATGTAGTGAAGTGCTTAAGCCACATGAATAGAAGCAGTTACCCAACGTGAAAATAAATATCTGTGAGATCACTCCATAGTGCTCTGCAGAGACACCCCTTATTCCTTTCAATATCAACAGAATGGATGTGCCATGGCATAGTCCAATAATCTTATGTTGATGGATGCTTTGACTCTTTCTCTACTTGCTGTTACAAACCCTGGCTGCACTGACATAATCTTTACTATTTTTATTGCTATATTTTGGAATGGATCTGTAGATGTATTATTGCTGCTTAAAGGGTAAAAATCACAGGGTATCTTGCTCACTACTGTCAAATCCCCCTTCAGAAAGGTTGTGTCATTATCCATTCCCCATCAATATCTGACAGCAGAAATTTTCCCAGTGCCTCACCAGGAGAGCTGCCAGAAGTTTTGATTGTGTTCACCCCATAGGTGACAAATGACATGCTAGTGTATATTTTAGCTTGCATATCTCTTGACATTGCACAACTTTTTCGTGTGGTTCACAGTCATTCTTGTTTTCTTTTTTGGCTAGGCTCTCTTAATTTATATTTTTGGCCCAGTTTCTACAGAGACTCAGCTTTCTTTTCCCTCTACAAAACACTCCTTTATATCTCAGGGATATATTGGGAGAGTTGCCTCTTTCTCTGATGTAAATTGCAAAACATTTCCCCCTATTGCCGTGCAACATTTTTTACGTCGTGGTGTTTTGGTTCATTTCATGTTTATTCTGTCATCTTTATCAATACATTGACTTACTTCTCCTGGAGATTTCCCATTCTTAAGTTACAGAGGATTGACACTTGAAACACTTACATGGTTTCACACTTTACATTTTAGACTGCAATCCATTTTGTAATTTATACCCATTTGTGGTGTGAGCCAGAGTTAGGGGTTCCCCACGGGAGTGGCATTAGCATGACGGTGGTAGAGAAACCCATGCACACGGGTGAGAAGTGTAGAGATCAAGTGTGAAGGCACAGTACATTGGCCACGGTTAAAAAAAAAAAAAAAAAAGGAGGAGGAGCAGGAGGCGGAGGAGATGGAGGAGCCAGAGGAGGAGATGTTTCTACTGAAAGGTGTATTCCCAGAACGGGGCATAGCTCTAGTGCCCACCCTCTATTCTACACAGTCTAGAGCAACCGGGAGGAAATCTTTAATAGCGGGCTCCTGTCCTGGGACTTCCAGGAAAATCATGTCCGTCATCCAATGCTCTGGCACATCTGAGGCCTGCGTGTTGATATAGATTCTGTCTCTCCTGACTTGGAAGTCGGAAGCAACCTGAGACAGAGTTTGGAAGGCCCTGAAGACAGCCCAGCAGGCTTCAGGAGCTGCATGCAGTTCCATAGGCAGGC